GGTGACGGGCAGGCCCCGCGTCCGAGCCTGGCTCGGTCCCCGAACCCCCACCCCCGCGCGCACCTGCGCCCGGCCGTGCGTCCTCCTCTCTCTCCCGCCAGTCTCCCAGGCGCTCGCTCGAGCCCAAGTCTGCGCCGCCGCGCTGGCTCTCCTCCTCCAGGGCCGGCTCTGCGGACTGGGACCGCGCAGCCTCAGAAGCAGGGCCCTGGGCCCCGGGTCCCTCCGGGACGGGCCAGGCATCTGAGATGCCCTCCCGGCAGGGAGGCCTGCTCTCTGCCCCCTCAGGGTCACTCCCCTCGCCTCCTCCCTGGCTGCATGCATCCTTAAGGCGCTGGAGACATCCCGTTCTTCCTGTTCTCCCCCCTTGCTTCCCTGGCCACCCCTGCCCACCTGCCAGCACCTGGCCCCTACTGTCCTCAGTTCGGCGACACACTCAGAGGTCAGCCTTCCTCTGTAGGTGGCTTCCCGCCCTGAGCCTGCAATGCCAGCTGGGGCCCGAGCACTGCACCAACATCACCTCCTTAGCTTGGACTCCCACCTCTATCAACACAGCAAAAGATGCACCCAGTATGGGCTCACAGGAAATTAAGGGGCAAAAAGGCCCAGGTCATTTCCAGGTGAATAGCTGTCAGAGGAGGGTTCCCCTGTCTCTACTTATGTGATTGATATTTTGAACCTAAAAAATGGTAGATCCTGACAACAATCCTTTTCCATGGTATCCTCTGGTTTTAGCCTGCCATTCCAGGCTGAGGCTGGTTCCTGGATCATCCACCCCTGCTCCCTTAAAATGGGACTTTCCTCTAAGACATGCCCCTTCCCCACCTTGGAGAATCCTTCCCAGGGCTGGACTCACAAAAAGGTAGTGACTGATTTGCAGGGAGGGGGGCACTTATTCATGGGTGCCCAGGAACTCCCTGTGCCTGGGCAGAGGGTCCCATCCCAGTAGGCACCGTGACCTTGCATAATGGCTGGCCACTTCCAACCCCCCTGTCCCAGGGGCCCCAGGCTGTGCCCACCAGCTCCTGGATGCCCTGGGTGATGGCTGTGTGCCAGTTGCTGATGATGGCTTCAGAGTCGTGCTGGATCAGGTATTCCGAGCCATCACGGCTCCGCAGCTGGAGGGAGACAGGGCATTGGGTCACCTCTGGTTCCCTGGGTCTGCCCTGGGGGTTGGCCCCCTTGGGGGTATGAAAATGGAGGTGACTGGTCCCCACCCCCAGGAGCTCAGAGCCTAATGGAGGAAGGGCCTGACCCTGGCCACAGTTGCGGCCTTCCTTAAAGCAGTAGGTGGCAGTGCTGTGCTACAGGTGAGGCCCTGAGGCCCTGCGGCTCTCCTGGGTACGCAGCTGTCAGTGTGCAGCACAGACCTGCGTGGATCCCGGTCTGCAAAACACGATGTGCTGGGAACTTCCTGGGGGACAGCCCTGGCCACCGGGACTAACACGGAAGAAAACATGAAGAAAGGGGACCTGGGAGAAGGCGAGGCCCCGGCGCCCAGCCACACTGAGGACCTGGGAAGGTCACCCTACCTCTTGAAGCCAGGACCTCCCACTCTCTCCCACACTCCAGCCTGGGCGGCGCATCCTCTTACAGCCCACTTCACGGAGAAGCAGAAAGTAAGCGCAGTGCCGGGGTGGTGGCGAGGATGGCCGGTCAGCCTGTGGCTCGGGCCAAATGGTCCAGGTTGCTGTGAGCAGTGGGCTGTAGCAGCTCATGCCATCCCGGCACTTCAGATCCAGTGGAGTCAGAGGCAGTAGAAGTTGTCTCAGACCACAGGACACAACTTCCAGCATCCGAGAGGACTGTCCTTTGGCTGCCCACCTTTTAAACTTATACTTGAATACTATTTAAACTGCTTTCATAAATGAAAAAAGGACAGACATGGTGGCTCACGCCTGTAATCCTGGCTTTCAGTGATGTGGGAGGCCGAGGCAGGAGGATGGCTTGAGCCCAGGAGTTGGAGACCCCAGGGAGCTATGATCATTCCACTGTGTTGCACTCCAGCCTGGTTGACAGAGCAAGATCCTGTTTCTCTCTCTCTCTCTCTCTCTCTCACACAAACACACACACACACAAAAGGGCTGGGTGCGGTGACTCAAGTCTGTCATCCCAGCACTTTGGGAGGCTGAGGCGAGAGGACTGCTTGAGCCTAGGGGTTTGAGATCAGCCCGGGCAACTTGGCGAGACCTCATCTCTACAATAAATAAAAAATAAGCCTGGTGTGGTAGCACGCGCCTGTGGTTCCAGCTACTTGGAAGGCTGAGATGGAAGGATCACCTGAGCCCAGCAGATTGAGGCTGCGGTGGCCATGGGCATTCCACTGTACTCCAGCCTGGGTGACAGAGTGAGACTCTGACTCAAAAAAAAAAAAAATAACAAAGAAAAAGAAAACAATGTGTTCCACCCACCTCCCTCTGCAGATACTGAGACCCAGCAGCAGGCAGAGAGCATGGTCACACTCTGATGAAATCTGACAGAGCTCTGCTAGGGCTCAGCCCAGGGAATGACCTAACAGTGCTTCGAAAGCAACCACCATCGTTCTAGGCCGCTCTCTCAAAACATCTCCAGTTCCTATCTCAAAGTCTCACCCAGAAGCCCACGCTGTATTGTGGCAACATATTCTACACACCATCTCTTTTGCTGCCTGCGCCAGCAAGCGCCAGCAACTCTGGGGACTGTTCCTGTGGGCTCTGAGGCCCTGGGCGACTAGGAAGACCTGCTGTCCAGGTTTCCTGGGCCCAAGGACCCCCTCTGTCCTCGAACCTACGGAATCGGGGCTGTTTCCTATGGAAAGCCCTGGAGTTGCCTACGAGACACCCTGGGTGTAGGAGACTAGCCCCCACCAGCTATAAGTTGGGGACTCCCTGGTCTCTACCCAGACCTGACAGTCTTCTCCTTGGCTCAGAAGGATCTGGCTTCCAGTCTTTGTCTGCAAAGACACTCCAGGAAGCCAGTCAGTTTTCTTCCTAGAGAGCATGGCTGTCCCTCAGGTCAGGAAAAGAGCATGCCCAGCAAACATGATGTCCCTCCTCAATCTGCCCCATGGCAGACATGGTCAGTTGATCACAGAACTCTACCCTACCAGGCCTGGAGAAGGCTCAGAATTCTTCTCAAGAAGGCTCCAGACCTATGGAAGCTGGTTTCCCAACTTATGCGATGAAGCCGGTTTCCCAACTCTGCTCCAGACATCCTGTTTCCAGAACTAATGTTGGGCACCATCAGGAAGCTGCACCCTTGGGCCTCCTGCAGAGCTGCTTTTCCTGAGCACAGGGAGGCCTTTGGCATCCATCATAATGTGCAACCCGGAGCACACCAGATCCCTAACCAAACCTCCCAGAGAGCTTTTGCAGGGCACTGGCCTCCTCCCTCTGAACCACACTAGAAATTTCTTCAAGAGCTTTGATTCCCTCAAAATTTGGGTAGGTTTTATTATTCTTTCAACAAAAGTCACATAACTGAGGCTGGGCACGGTAGCTCATGCCTGTAATCTCAGCACTTTGGGAGGCCGAGGCAGGAGGATTGCTTGAGCCCAGGAGTTCAAGACTAGCCTGGGCAACATAGGGAGATCTCGTCTCTACAAAAAATAAAAAAATTAGCTGGGCATGGTGGCACATGCCTATAGTCTCAGCTACTCAGGAGGCTGAGGCAGGCGTATCACCTGAGCCCAGGAAGCTGAGGCTGTGGTGAGCTGGGATCGTGTCACTGCACTCCAGCCTGGGCGACAGAGTGAGATCCTGAGTCAAAACAAATAAAAAGGAGCCAGATAACTGATAACCCTTCTTTCTGTACTGTAGCTACCAGGAAGACGGGCTAAATGTTCTCAGCCACCCCCACCCAAGCACCTGTGAGGCACCAGCCCTCACTCCTCTCTACCTCGAGCTCCACCTCTGACTTAGTTTGCCTGGCCCTGGCCTTTCAGTGGATTTTGCCAGTTCACCGCATGTGTTTTAAAATTCTAAGGACTGAGGTGGGGGTACAAGTAGTTCAAGCTCAAGACCACACGTGGACAGTGAAGGGTGTGGCACTGGGAGGACCCTGGTCTGTGGCTTCTTTGCCTTCCTACTGGGGGACCCTAGCAGGCCGGTCCACCGCCCTGACTTAATCACTGGGGACCTGGTCTGGTCGGAAGCTGGGCTCTGGACCAGGGGAGAAGGAGCAGGTTCCCCACCTGGCCTGCCCGAGTAGGTAGCCCGGGCTGGGGAGCTCCGTCTCTCTCGGGCTGGGACCAGGCTACCATGCTAGGCATGACCAGAGGCCCCCAATACGCACCGCCCAGGGCAAGGACTATCACCTTAGCGTGGGCACTGCAAATCCGTGATGCCAGAAACACCAGGCAGATCCTGACACGGGGCCAGCTTTGACCTTGAGCCCTGGGAATTGCAGCGCCAACTCTTCCTGGGACTCCCTTCCTGGGCTTGCCCCTAGTGAGGGTCCCAGGCCATCAGTAAGTCCCTCCCCTCCTTCCCTCTAGCCCACCACTCACCTCCAGCACATTCTTCTTGCTGGACTTGTCTTTGGGGGCCCAGGAGAGAGAGGCCCCCCTCAGCTCCACTGTGTACTCAGGCGTGGAAAACTTGGAAGGCTGCCTCTGTGAAGATGGGGGAGAGTAAGGCTACAGAGATCAGCCTGGCACTCTGGCTCAGGGACAGGATGGGGTCACTGGTGTGGCCAGGTAACGGCTCTGGGGACAGGGGCCCAAGGGCTCCTGGAACCCCAGAATCCCAGTGCATCTGAATCCCCGTGTCCACTGCAGCCTGTCCCCCAGGAGAGGCCAGGAAGGGAGCACAGGTCATTCCTGACATCAGAGGTATCTGCCCCCAGCCTTCCTGCCCTCCAGGCTGCAGCTGTCCACCTTCAAGGGCTGTCCCATCCCCAAGGTGGCCGAAACTCCGTGACCTGGGGTGACTCTGCCGACATCATCACCCCCCCCTGCCAAGGCCCGGTTCCTCTGATCACTCTTGGTCTCCTCCGAACCCCATTATATCGATAGTACCTGCCCAGGGGGCTGCCCTCACCAGGCCGCCTGCAGTCGAGGTTTTTGAGTCCTTGAAGAATGTCAAGACACCCCCCTCCAGCACTGTCCAGGAGGCGCTCCAGCGTTTCTTCCTGGGTGAGGGGTGGGGAAGCACATGGGCAGGTGGGCATAACTTAGATCTGGTCCTGGGCTGCAGCCTCTTCCCACCCTGGAAGCAGGGCACAGAGCCCTGGGACACAGCCTGGGATACCTCGCTATGAGGGCTGGACTCCTGGCTCTAACACCCGGCAGCCAAGGGACCTTGAGCAAGTCACTTTAATCCCTTGGTGTCTCAGTTTCCCCACAGGACCGCTCATCAAGTTGCCAGGAGGATGACTTAAGAGCTTGGCATTTGGGAAGTGCTCAGTGAACATCACATCATCAAGCTCCGCCCAGCCCAGGATGGTGTGAACGTCACCATGGAGGCCTCCACGCAGGTGGTGGGAAGGTCACCATCAAGGCCCCCCACTCTGGGTACTGTGAATGTTACCATGGAGTCCACTTCCAGGTGGTGTGAAGGTCACCATCGAGGGCCCCCCCTGGGTGCTGTGGATGTCACCATCGGCTCCCCTCCCTGGGTGCTGTGAAAGTCACCCCAGGTGGTGTGAATGTCACCACAAGTCCCCCCACCCAGGGTGCTGTGACTGTCACCATGGAGGCCCCCCTGCCCTGTGTGCTGTGAATATCACTACCGACACCCCCAACCCCCACCCTGGTCGGGTGCAGATGGGCTCTCACCGCAGCTGCTTCCCCTTATCCACCGTCTTGGTACGGTGGAGCACGCCTGCCTTGTCCAAGGTCTTGGTCTAAGGCAGGAAGGGAAAGGAGGCAGTCAGCAGGGTGAGCCCGGTGGGGGCAGAGGCTGGTCTCCTCCTCGGCTGCTCCTCCCTATGGGCTGGGCCTGTGTCTGCACTGAACCCTCCACCAGCGTGGCAACCTGGTCTCTGGGGGCCAGGGTGGGGGCAGTGCCTGCCCCCCCCCAGTGGCAGGAGAGATTCGCTTTCAGCTGCCAACCTCAGCCACCTGGGCCTATGGGGGAGTCAATATATTTCAGCCAGTCCCGCCCTGAGAACCTCTAGGAAGCCCCCAATTCTTCCGTGGTGGCCCAGTCATGACCTTCACATCCCCTCCCTTACCTTCTCCTCTGGGGGGCTGGCCTGGGCATGAGTGTCACTGTCCTGGCTGGACTTGCGGATGCTTCGAGGGGCAGGGACAGGAACCTGGGGAGAAAGGCATGGTCATCTGTAAGCATTCCCGTTCTCCCCAGCACTCCCCCTTCCTCAGTGCTCACCTGGGGCAGCTCCCACCGAACGGAGAAGTCCTCTGGGTTGTAGAAGTAAGGCTTCCCATGTGGGTCCTCCAGCATCACCCACTGCAGGGAGGGAGATGATCAGAGACATCAGTCCAGCTGGTGAGAGGGCAGGGAAGCTTCCCTCCAACCAGACCCCAGATAGCGCCAGGCAGCTTGGAAGGGCAGGGGCAATGCCCTGGTCTGGCCTAGGGTCTGCTGGGAGTGACTTCCAAGGAAAGCTGGGGGAGTGACCCTAGTTGTCTGGGTCCGTCTGCCGGCACCCCTACCTGCTCCTGGGTGCAGTGGTTAGTGTAGAACGTCCGCTTGTCCTGGCCCACGTGACAAGACCAGCCGGGGGGTGTGGTCAAGGGAGAGGTGGGGCCGGCCTCGCCGAAGGAGCCCACAGGGGAATAGTCCTCCTCTGGGTAACTGGTCAGCGACTCGGGGTAGTCCGTCTCGGGGGTGGGGGGCTGCAGGGAGCGGGAGGTGGAGTCAGAGGCTCTCAGTGCCAGTAGTGCTGTCGCGCCCTGCCTTTTTGGACAGGGCTCACCCCCTTACCGTCGGGTCCCTGGGGGCTGTGGGAGAAGTCGGAGCCAGAAGCACTCAGAGATAGCGCCACCCATCCTGCCCCGCCCCTCGCCCTCTAGCTTTTGGGGCAGCGGGAGAAGGAAGCTGGGGTCAGAGGCGCTCAGAGAAAGTGCCGCCCCTCACTCGCTGATCCCTAGGGAAAGGAGGTAGGGGCACAGGTAGCCCCGCCCTTTCGAGCCCCGACTCCGCTTCCGGGAACCAGGAGGTGGAGTCAGAGGTAGCCCCGCCCCTCACCCGCAGTCCCGGGGGCTGAGAACAGGAGGCGGAGGCGGAGTCAGAGACGCTTAGAGACAGCTCCGCCCACGTCAACCCGCCCCTCGCCCTCTGAGGCCCATGGAAGCGGGAGGCGGTGCCATGGCTAGCCCCGCCCCCACCATCTGGCCTGGGGCTGAGCAGAAGGCGGGGCCAGAGGTAGCTCCGCCCACACAGGCCTCGCCCCTCATCCTCCCGCCTGGGGTTGTGGAAGCAGAAGGAGGCGGCAGAGGTAGCCCCGCCCCCCACCCGCAATCCCTGGGGCTGAGAGTAGGAGGCGGAGCCAGAGACTTTCTGACAGCTCCGCCCACCTCGGCCCGCTCCTCGCCCTCTGGCCCCGGTGTCCGTGGAAGCGGGAGGCGGTGCCATGGGGAAGCCCCGCCCCACCCTCCGGCCCGGGGTGGAGCAGAAGGCGGGGCCATAGGTAGCCCCGCCCCTCACCCGCGGGTTCCTGGGACTGCCAGGGCTCAGGCCCGGCAGCATCTTCGGCTCGTCCTCGGGCTCGTCGTCCGGCTCGTCGTCGACCTCGTCCTCCCAGGCCGTCTCGCCCGTCAGCGGGTTGTAGAAGAACACCCTGCGGCTCTCCTCATCCCAGTACTGGCCCCACTCGGCCTCGAGGCTTTCGCGGCTGCTCACGGAGGCCGGGGAGGCGGCCGGGCTGGCGGCGCCCTCGGCAGCCTGGAAGGGCGACTCCCAGGTGGTCTCGCCCGTGTCTGGGTTGTAGTAGTAGGGGCGTCCGGTGCCCGCGTCCGTGTGCGTCTCCCACGCCGGGCTGGGGCCGGGGGCGGCGGTGGCCTCCGGCGACGAGGCCCGAGGCTGCCTCTCAACGTTCGCGTACACGGGCTCCGGGGCCGCGTCCACCTGCAAGGAGGGAGGGAGGTGACTTCAGGAGAGCTGCAGGGTCACGCTGCTCACACTCGGCCACTTGCCACCTGGACGACCTCCAGAAGGCCACATTGCCTCTCTGACTCAGTTTCCCGGCGTCAAGGTCTGCACTGCCCATTTCGGAAATTGTAGTCAAGAGAGAACGAGGAAGTATTCTCCAAAGTGCCTTGTGTCTGGGGCCCCAGGTGGGTGGGTCACACACCTTGATTGTATTTTTTTTTTTTTTTTTTTTTTTTTTTTCAGTTGGAGTCTAATACCAATAACCCGGCTCTCACAGCTGTCAGAGGCAAGTCAGAGCTTGGGCAGGGACAGAGAAATGGCCTGGGCCGTCCCTTCCCGTGGTCCCCGTGCATGGGGGACCACACTTCACAGCCCCCTTTGAGAGCTTCTGGCCCCTTCCCTCGCACTCCCTCAGCAAGCTCTGGGATTGGAATCAATACTGCTTCTGGTCTAGATACATGGCCTGAACTTCACCAGATGGGGCGTGCGGGGGGGAGGGAGGGTCAGACTCAATTCCGGGCAAGAGAAGGGGAGCGAGCCCAGCCAGATGGGCTGGAGAGAGGACACGCGGAGAAGGGAGTCCCTTTCCCGCCAAAGGCAGGTAGGCTGGGGGTTCAAGTACCAGAACAGAAACCCGGTCCTGCTTAACACCCTCCTGGGACAGGTGTTCTTCTGGCTCAAACCTGGCTCCCTGCTGGCACTGGGCAAAGTCTAAGCCTTTCAAACACCTGAGGCCTCTACCACCTGTCCGTGCTTCCACCGTGTTTCCTGCCACTCCTTGCCCTGGTCTTGAACTTTAAGCTCCAGTAGCACGGTTGCTGGAGGTCCCCGCCCTCTGATGCAGCCCCAGCTCATTGGCAGCTTGCCCAGGCCATCTCCACCCATCTTGGGGACTCAGCTTAGGGGCCAGGTTCAAGGTCTTTGCCGAATTCCCACCCAGGTGCCCCACACTCAGCCTAGCAGAGGACAGATCCCTGCATCATCAAACCCCAGGCAGCAGAGTGGCACCCTGGGGTTAGTGCTGTCTTCTAAGAATACACAGTACTCAGCCTGTGTTCCCAGCACTCTGGGAGGCTGAGGCGAGTGGATTGCCTGAGCCTGTGGGTTCGAGAACAGCCTGGGGAATTTGACGAGACCTCATCTCTACAACAAATAAAAAATTAGCCAGGTGTGGTAGCATGCACCTGTAGTTTCAGCTACTTGGAAGGCTGAGGCGGAAGGATCGCTGGAGCCCAGCAGGTTGACACTGGAGTGGCCGTGAGTGTGCCACTGTACTCTGGCCTGGGCAATGTAGTGAGACTCCAACTAAAAAAAAAAACAAAACCAAAAAAACAAGAATACACAGTGCCCAGGGGGGTGCAGAGCTCAGAAGGGTGGAGTGGGCACCATCTCAATTCTGTTTATGCAAACCTTCCAAACAGAGGTCCTCTCTGGAAGGTGTGATTATACATATTTTTTTCTTTAAGGTTTTCTGTAGCCTCAACATTTTGTACAATAAAATTTTATTTATTTATTTTTGAGTCAAGGTCTCCCTCTGTCGTCCAGGTGGAATGCACTGGCATGATCCTGGCTCACCACAGCCTCGACCTCCTGGGCTCAGGTGATCTTTCTGCCTCAGCCTCCCAAGTAGCTGGGACTAACCACCATGCCCAGATAAGTTTTTTCATTGTAGAGATGAGGACTCACTATATTGCCCAGACTGGTCTCAAACTCCTGGCCTCAAGTAATCCTTCCACCATGGCCTCTCAAAGGGATTATAGGCGTGAGCCCCTAAGCCTGGCCTAGTTTTAATTTTTAGACATACTGTCTTGCTCTGTCTCCCAGGCTGGAGTGCAGTGATGCGATCATAGCTCACTGCAACCTCCAACTCTGGGGTTCAAACAATCCACCTCAGCCTCCTGAGTACCTGGGATTTCAGATGCACGTCACCATGTCTGGCTAGTTTTGTTTTCTTTCTTTCTTTTCTTTCCTTCCTTTCTTTCTTTCTTTTTTTGATGATGTCTCTTTGTGTTGCCCAGCCTACAATAAAACTTTGAAAAAACACAGAAGTTCCTCTGTGGACTGTGACACCTTAACTAAATAAACTAGAAAGAAAGCAGTCCTCCTCAAAGTGGCCTCTCCCTGGGCCTTAGGCAGATTCCTAAAAACATTCACTCATTTTTTTTTTCACCAAACTAATGCGGAAAGAAGAAGAAAAAGAAAAACTTGTGTGCGTCCAACAAACACTCCTGCTCTGTGCCCTGCACTGTTCTAGGCACAGCGAACCAGGGGCCAGCACTCGCGTGTACATGCATGTCTGTGGTGGTGGCGAGGGGTGGCACAGGAATGGACAGCATGCCCATGATGGACACTGCTAAGAAGAGCGCAAAGGCACTGTCAAAGACGGGTGACGGTTTTAGACGGCCTGGTCCCAGGTGCGTGGGGGTGGGGGAGAGCTGGGGACGCCAGCCCACCAGCGGTTCCTCTGTGCCCCCAGGCTGGGACTCCTACCCCCACTTCTCCCCACTCTTCCCCCTCTCCCGCACAGACCACA